CCCTAGCTCAGGCCTTTAAGTGGCTGCTTCCACAAAGCTGTCAGCCTCAGGTTGCTGGAGTTCGAACCTCACACCTCTCCCGCTGGCCAAAAGTGCCCTGAAGGCATTCGAGGAACAAAAAAAAAAAAAAAAAAAAGAAAGAAACAAAGAACAGGTGCCACCACGAATATGTTGTTCCCTGAATCCCAGCTTGCCAGGATTAACACATGATGACACATTTCCTCAGGCTTTTGTTTTTAGGCTCTGTTTCTTGTTTTCTAGGGACAATAATCTTCCAGCTTATATCGCTACAATTCCCCATTTTTATTTTTCTGTTAATCCCCCCCCCCCCAGGGAACTGGGGATTGAACTCAGGCCCTCGTGCTTATCAGGCAAGCGCTTCTTCTACTGAGCTATCTCCCCAGCCCCTGTTAAATTTTTATGAAGCATCATCGCAAGGACTGTAGATAGTTGATTCATGGCTTGTTGGTGGGCTTGTCCTCATCGCTGGCTAGGCAAGGTGTATGAACAATACAGAGACAAGGTAGACAGGTTATCATTACACTTTCACTAAGCCATGGAACAGCAAGAAAAGGATTGTTTTCAGCACCATTAGAGATGCCTTGTAGCAGATCAGTGCCAGATAATTCTGACAGTTGTCTTGCGAAAGTATTATCAATATGTTGCTGAAGAGATAGGATCTGAGGTAATATTATGGGGCCAGGGAGATGGCTCAGTAGAATAAGCGCTTCCCTGGCGAGCACAAGGGTCTGAGTTCAATCCCCGGTTCTGCCAAAAAAAAAGGAACTAAGCTTCCCAGAAATGCTGGTTTTCTTCAGAGGTAATATTACCACAATCCAATTTCTGGTTGATGGGCATTTGGGTCATTTTCAAGATCGAGCTATTAACTGTGCTACTATAAACATGGGTATATATATGCCACTGTGGCATGATGTTTCTAATTCTTCTGAGAAAATATCTAGAAGGGGAATAGCTTGGATCAATGGTACTGCCAATGCTAGTTTTTTTTTAGGAAACTGCACTGATTCCACAAAGGTTGCACTAGTCTACGCTCCCACCAACAGTGAAGGGTTTCTTTAAACCAGAGACTAGCCGTAATTTGTTACTGGTCAATTCTTGACAACAGCCATTCTTACTGGGGTGAAATGGAATCTCTGTGTTGTTCTAATTTGTATCTTTCAAATGACCAATGACATTGAATATTTTTCATATATTTATTTGCCATTTGTATTTGTATTTCTGAGAAGTGTATATTCATCTCAGTTGTCCATTTTGGATTGGGTCTCTAAATTTAGATGGGCCTAAGGATTTTTTTTTTTTTTCTTTTTGTGGAGCTGGGGATTGAAGCTGCCAGGCAAGCACTTATTCAACTGAGCTATCTCCCCAGCCCTAGGATTTTTTATTTATTTGTATTTTTTAGGGAAGGGTCTACAAGGTGTTTAGGGTCTCAATACTAGATCAGACTTCTAGTGATCCACCTGTTTACAGCCTCCCAAGAGCTGGGATTACAGGTGTGCATCACCACACCTTCTCAATTGCCATTTCAGCATACCCCAGGAGAAAGGCTGGCACAGCAGACCCGGGGAATCAAATCCCAGGCCCCTGAGCCCACTTGCAAAAGCTTTCATCTGCTGAGCTATTTGGCAAGCCCTGGATTTTTTAGTTCTTTATATGTTCTCGATAGCAATCCTTGTCTGGGGACATCCAGCAAACATTTTTCCCACATTGTGGGTTGTCTCTTCACTGTTGGTGGTTTCTCTTGCTGTGCAAAACCTTTCTAATAAGATGAGATCCCAAGGGGCTGTTCAAATAGCTCAGTAAAGTGCCTGCAAGGAGGCAAAGGGGTCAGGGGTTCAATCCCTGGGCCTGCTGTGACAGCCCTGCCCCTGGGGTGTGCCAAGATGGCAATTGAGACTGGGCATGGTGGCGCACACCTGTAACCCCAGTTCTTGGGAGGCTGTAAACAGGTGGATCACTATGAGTCCAATCTAGTAGTGAGACCCTGAACACCCTGTAGATCCTTCCCTAAAATACACACACACACACACAAGATCCCAGTTGTTCATTGTGATAGTTCCTGTGCAATTGAGGCTTTAGTTGTAGTTTTTGCCTACACCAAAGTCTTCAAGAGTTTTATTTGTTCTATCTTCCAGAATATTTAATGTTTGTTTTTATATTTTGATCTTTAATACATTGTTAGTTTAGTTCATTGTGAAAGATGTGGGTCCAACTTTAATCTTCAGCATGAGGAAAGCCAGTTTTTCCAGCACTATTTATTAAAGAGGCTATCTTTCTTCCAGAACATGTTTGGCCTCTTTGTCAAACCTAAGGTGGCTGTTTGAAGCTGTCTGCATCTTCTGATCTGTTCCATCGATCTTTGGGTCTTCCACAACCCCCTCCCCAGTGCCATGTTAGGGTTTCTTTTAATCACTAGCTTTATAATATAATTTCGTCAGGGATTGTGATGTCCCCTGCCTTGCCTTTGTTGCCCAGAATTGCCTTTGTTATTCTAGGTGTCTTCTGCTCCCACATGAATTTTAGAATTGTTTTCTCATTCTGTGAGATATGCTGTTGCGATTTTGAACAGGATTGCATTAAATCTGTGTAAGTTTTGGAAGTATGGCCATTTTCACTCACAGTTTTCCATTTTCTGATATCCTCTTCAGTCTCCTTTTTCAGAGGACTGTAGTTTTCAATGTAGAGATCTTTCACATCCTTCATCAGACTGATTTCTAGGCTTTTTTTTTTTTTTTTTGATACTATTGCTAAAGATGTTTCCCTCATTTCTTAGTGAGTTTGTTATTCCTGTACAGTAAGGTTATTGGTTTTTGAGTATTGACTTTGTATCCAGATATAAAACTAAATTTGCTTATTAAATCTTGCAGTTTTTAGTGGTTTTGGGTTTATGTAGAGCACCGTATCATCTACAAATAATTTAACTTCCTCCTTACCTATCCTTACTCATTTTCTCGTATCTAATTACTCTGGCTAGTTTGCAAGACTATGTTGAGTAAGAATGGAGACAGTGGACATCCTTGTCTTGTTCCTGATTTTACAGTGGAATCTGTTTTTGCCCATTTAGTATGATGTTGGCTATCGATTTGTCATAGTTGGCTTCTATCAGATAGAGATAAAGACCATCTGTTCCAACTTTTTGTAGGGTTTTTATTATGAAGGGGTGCTGGACTTTGTCAAAAGCTTTTCTGCATCTATTGGATGACCATATGATTTTTGTCCTTGGCTTTTAATATAGCACATTATTAATATGCTGGAGGATCTCTGTATCTCTGCAATGAATCCAACCTAGGCATGATCTATAATCTTTATGATTTGCTGCACTGTTTGCCAGAATTTTATTAAGGATTTTTGCATCTATGTTTATTAGCGAGATGGGCCTATGATTCCTTTTTTAATTGTAAAGAAAAAAATCTCAAAATAGGAGGGTAACAATGGTTGATACATTGCATATTGTTATCTTCAAATTAGTTACTGAGACTACAAAACACTGGCGTTTTATTGTCCAAACAGTATCAGCCCAATCTTTTCTTTTCAACGAACTAAGAGAAGTTAGTAGTATAACTATCTTATTATTTTTTCTTTTGCTTTTCCTTTTTTCCAATCCATCCTAATTTTTCTTTCTTTTTGAAGTTTATTTTACAGTATCTACTGTATGTTTTGGATCTTATTGACTCTTTCAGCTCATCACACTGGGGAGACAATATGATGGTTATACTTGGGCATCCATTTACCTATAAAGTCTCCAGTTCATCCTTCTTTATGGCTGAGTAGTATTCCATGGTAGAAAAAGACCATTCTTTTTTTTAATCCAATCCTCAGTTGATGTAAGCCACATTTTATTTCTTCAAATACATCAAATACACTGACTTTTTTTCTTTTTAGCGGAATCAAGGATTGAACTCAGGCCCTTGCACTTGCCAGGCAAGTGCTTATTCTACTGAGCCATCTACCAGGCCCCTAAACTGACTTTCTATTGTGTGCCATTTACTCTAGTATCTCCAACCTGTGAATTTGGTCTCTGTGGCTTTTGCTCATGGTATTGGAGTGTGTGGAATCCCTTTCTCCTGTGTATGACAATGCCCTGAGCTCAGAAAGATCTTTTAGCTGGGACAAGCTCCCTCCTCAGCTCTTGTGTCTTGGCCAAGCACAGCTGATGCAGAGCCCTCCCTGCCAGCCGTGCCTGCCATGCCCTCCAAACACTGTAGGCTGCCCAGCCAAGCCTGGCTCCTACCTGCCTCCAGTCTGCCTTCCACTGTGACAGGCCACTCCCCAGAGCAAACTGAAAGGCGGCAGTGAGCTGAGGGAGGGAGGGAAAAAGAAGGAATCAGGATATACTGGGATGGCAAGACAGCTCAGCAGACTAAGCACCTGCTTAGGCAAGTGTGGGGACCTAAGCTCAGTCCCCAGCACTACATGCCATGCCAACCCTGCCCCTGGGCGCACTGAGCTGGCCACCAAGACTAGGCGTGTTCACCTGTAATCCCAGCACTGGGGAGGCTGAAAATAGGAGAATCACTACGAGTCCAAGCTATGTACCAAATATATTAAACAAACAAACAAACAAAAAAGGATATGCTGTCCCTGCATGCAGATTCCTCTCAAAGGGTGTGATTGCCTTGCAACAAAAGTGCTAACAAACATAAGGACAGAACCACACATACAGGCAAGTACACCAGGCTTTTCCACCAGTCAGTGCCTCCGATACTGGGGCATGGTGAGTGGGACGGGGCTGCTTCAACCTAAGGGCACCCTGTCTTCTACCTCCCACCCCTGCCCAGGTGGCCAGCACCTCTCTGAACCCTGGCTGCTGGGGTTCACAGGGTGTCCCCAGGCCACAAGGACACCAAGGCCACAGGTGTCCAGACCTTCTTCCCAGCCTCAACAGGACAGCTTAACACCACTGACCCTGCCCTTAATGCCCTTCACCTGCTGTCCCTGCTTTGCAGGGAGACTGGCCAGAAGTGACATATGGCCTTCGGATGGGCTGTTTGTCAGCACACTTTAACAGTCACTCAGAGCTCAGGGTGGAAGCTGGGATTTCCACCAGGTAGGGGGCCTAAGGCATGCACGGTGACACCCGTACCAGCAGCAAGAGTTGGGTAGAACCCCTGCCGGCTCTGGGAGAAAGGCACAGTGGTGGGCAGGTGTCTGGGGACCTGCTATGTGGGATGGCATAGGCCCCTGGACAGAGCCCAGGACAGAGCAAGCTGCAGGGTACAGAGGGAGCTCAGAAAGGCCACACAGACTCTCCACCCGTTGGGTTAGTCCTGCTACAGGTGACCACACAGGTCCTGCCCCAAACCTTCCACCTGGGCATGACCACCATCCCCTGCCACCCCATGGGCCCAGGCCACTGCCCTCCGTGTGGGAGACAGGTCAGGACTGCCAGCTGGACACAGTGGGCTCAGCAGGCACCCAGGTGGCTTGGGCCCCTCTCTTTGTCCACTGCCACAGCCCTCCCAGGGAGAGAGTACAATGCATGATGGTGACAGCACACAGATGCCTCCCCAGGCAGCGTGCTCCCCAAGTCCCCCAATGGCACAGCAAGCCACCCAGACTACTTGGTGGCTGTGGGCCACCAGTCTGGCACAGACACAGTTATGGTCACAAGGTCACTCTCAGAGGTCTTGATATGGAGGGGCCCCTTGATTCTCTCCGTGTGCAGCAGGGCCAGCCCCAGGGTCCCTTGTCCAGCCCTGAACTTGCCGGCAGTCTGTCCCGATTCAGTCAGCACTGGGGTGCCAGGTTCGATGCCACCAGCTGGGAGGGGGCTAGCTAAGTGCACAGGGAAGAGGCGTTTTCGGATAACACCTGTGTGGTGGGTGCGCGCAGTCAGTTCTTGGCCAATGTAGCAGCCCTTTGTGAAGCTCACACCATTCATGAAGACCAGATTGGACTCCAGGGGCAGGGCCACCCCTGGAGGCAGGTCACGGACCCCCTCAGGTACACCTGTAGGAAGGACACCAGAGGTGAGGGCACCTACACAGGCACCCTGTCCTGCCCCTTCCCACTGCCCACACTGCTGCCATACCTTGCTGGTATCGGTGTGCATGGTAATCCCAGGGGTCCCCCAGCCTGGCACCAGGCACCAAGGCTGGACCTGTGTCCTGTGTGAGGAGCCGCCAGCCCATGCTCACTGTCCGGGGGTCACGGGTAAGAATGCTGGTGGCCTCTGCCCTCTCCTCCAAGGGCACTGCCTGGCCAGCCCAAGTGACAGCAGGCAGCACAGCCCACACACAGCACTCAGGCCATGGCTCCACCTGGACCTTCCGTCGGACCCGGTAC